ATGCTCGTTGAATTTCCCGTCACTCTGTAGAGTTACTCCTAGTAAAACGAAGCTATTACATTGAGGAATATTGTTAATTGGAGAGTAGAGTACATTGTGATTTTTCTTTCTAACAACCAGCTCTTTACATTTATTAGGGTTGCAGACCATTTTATTGTCTTTGCACCAGGATAAGAACTGTCCTACTAAATCGGCAGACGGGTCACGGTTCCTAGTGATAGGCGAAACTATAGTGGAATCATCGGCGTATTTAAAAAGAACAGGGCAACCATTAAAGAAAATCTCCAAGTCATTCAAAAATATATTAAAAAGATACGGTCCGCTTACACTACCTTGTGTGGTTCCTCTATTGACAGATTTCCAGCGTCCTAAAAAAATTATAGCTAACAACACGTTGTTGTCTTGCATAGAGGAAACTCTGATACCAATCGATAATGTACGGATTTAGGGGTAGCTGTTTCAGTTTGGCAGACAAAATAGTATGGTTCACAAAATCGGAGGCCTTACTGGGAAGTCCATAGTAAAAATTCGCACTGCGCTACAGTCACTACTGTCTAAATACTTGTAAACTTAACGTTTACAAATAAATTACTTGTAAACGACAGAGACCAGAAAACCGTTCGGCTAGCTTCGAAACGTGTTTTTCGGCAAAATCTCCAGAGGCGAATGGGTTAAGTACCAAGTTTTTTGAGAAAAATCCACTTTTCAGCAAAACAACCGAATCTGGCTATTTAATGTCAAATCAGGTGAAAAAATCGGCAAAAGGCGATTTTTAGGTTCTTCTTTATTAATATACGCGTGAGCTATAATTAGACTGCCTCCTCGGGTTTTTGCCTTCCGGGCGAAATCCTTGCGAGGCCAATAACTGGGGTAAAGAGAATCGTTCGTTATACCGAAGACGTTGTTTCATAGAGGTTCGTTCTGTCGAGGTTGCACTGTACTATGAACTAGAGGTAAACAATTTTGTTGTTAGATAGAATGTATGTCTGACAAAATATTTACCAGACGTTCCGCCTCGGAGCTGAGGGCCAACAAGACAAAGAATGTGTTCAAATGTTTTATACATACATACATACATACAGTCGACTCACAATAACTCGAACCCTCGTTAACTCGAACCTCGCGTTAACTCGAACCAAAATCGATTTCCCCTGGATTTCCGTCATACATTCACTGTAATTTTACCCTCGATAACTCGAACTTCCGCTAACTCGAACCAATTTTCGTTTCCCTTCAGGTCCTTTTCTATATAACTTTACCCTCGATAACTCCTTCTGATTTATAATCTAAAAGTATCTTTTAATTTTCACTTGACATTTCTACAATTAAATGTGATTAAAATATTCACTGTGTAATAAAAAGTGTTTTTTTACCTTACTCTCAGCAATTTCCTTCGAACTCCCGGTAACTCGAACTCCCGATAACTCGAACCTTTTTCCGATTTGCCTTAAAGGTTCGAGTTATCGGGAGTTGACTGTACATGCGATATTTCATGTTGTGTTTACAGACTCGTTACTGACTGTGTATTCATGTCTTGCAGATAACAGGTACTCAAACTGAAATGAACTTTAACAGGAAGTATGTTTGGTTTCTTGTCATCTTGATTCTGGGCGGTTTTTTCTATGGTTACATGGTACTCAAGACCCAAGACACTACCGACAAAACTGGCTCCGTTCACAACCATAGTGTTACTAGGACTTCGAACGACAGGGAAAGTGATGAACGGCTCCAAATGGGACAGTATGTTGCTGGATTTAACTTGTCCCTAATCGGAAAAGAGTTCAACTTTAATAGTTCAGATTTAGCTTTTGTAAAAGCTGTTCTTCGGGATCAAACATTTAAACGAAAGCCAGTCGAGTCCATAGATGCCAAGACCCCATTTTTCGACCTTGTCGCTCCCGTAACGGGGTGTTCCAGTAACCACTACGGAGAATTTAAACATCATATCAAAGACTTTACAAAGCAATTTCCAGGAATAAAATGGTTTTTCTACGATCTTGGATTAAATGACGCGGAGATAAATGATGTCAGAACATTGCCTGATGTAGTGTACAGAAAATTCGACTTTGATGCATACCCCCAACACGTTCGTAACCTGCATAATTATGCGTGGAAAACCCTGATAATGCAAAAAATGCTGTCTGAATTTGACGGGACAATGTGGTTTGATTCATCTGTCAAGTTCACAGGAAATCAAACAAATGTTTTAATCGAGCTTATGTCCCGCCACAATACGGGTGCAGTGTTTTATGTCAGCACAACCGGTCACTCCATAATAACCGCTACGCATCCAACAATGCTGGAGTACCTTCCGATGGAAAAGGTAGGAGCAGTTAAGGACATGCTACAAGGTGGTGCAGTGGTTTATGTAAACAAGGATGAAGTTCAAAGACGTGTCATGAAATGGCTTGTTATTTGCGTGCTTAAAGAAGACTGCATTTCTCCACCAGGTTCAACTTTATATTGTGGGTTTAACTTTCCTCGAGACAGGTTTGGCGGTTGCCACAGATATGACCAGTCTCTGCAAAATATACTTATTTCAAACGCTTATAACTACGAACAGGAGAAATATTACTACTGGAGTGGTTCTTTTGCCATTGTAGAGCGATAGTGACCTGGATTAAGGATCATTATACTTTCGATTGTCATAACTCAACAACTTGGTCAGTTGTCGGTC